AAGACCAAAGTTTCGCAAGCAAACCATAACCAGCAAGCGCTCTGGGACGCCGCAGAACAGAAACTCGGGATGAGCAGCAGCTCTGTTGTGAAGTGTGCCAACATCGACTCCATCACACGCAGCCCTTCATGCGTCACTCTGGTCGCCCAAACCCCATCAGGCACTCAGACCATCCGCGCAAAGAAACTTCTCATGACCATTCCTCCTAAGGTCGCCCTCCTCGACCAGTTCCTGGATTTGAACACGGAGGAAGCAGACCTTTTCTCTCGCTTCAACAGCAGCGGATATTGGAACGCAGTTGTGGCCAACACTGGCTTCCCACAGGGCGTCTCTATGTACAACTACGACGCAAAAGCCGCCTTCGGTATCCCCGGGCTGCCAGGCGCATACTATTTCACCGCCGAAATCGACAACCTCTATTCAGTGCAGTACTCCACTCCCATGGAAGCCTCGGACGACTACTTCACCTCCGATGTCCTCGCCACGGTCCGGAGAATACGCGATGCGCTTGATCTACCCCCTGCCAATCAATCTACGATAATAAAGGCTAGCAATAACCATTCGCCCTTCGCCTTGAGCGTATCAGTCGATGAGATCAAGAACGGCTTCTACAAGCGCTTTGTGGCTCTGCAAGGTATGAAGAATACGTTTTGGACGGGAGCGAATTGGGCTTCGGGGAGTTCGAGCACGATTTGGGATTTCACGGAGGTGGAGGTTTTGCCTGCTATTCTTAAGAGCTTGGAGTGAGCAAATGTGTTCGATAGTGTATGCGTTAATGCTGTAGTCTAGTATCTACGAACGCGTATATTATTTAGCTCGCGGGTTCGTCTTCAGAACACCGACTCTTCTGGTGCAGACTCAGCAGCGTTAATATCTCAACTGCTATAACCTACACGAATTGAAGTTATGGATCTATTAGTCTCGGTCCATGACCTTGGGCAAAGCTGGACTCGTCTCTTTTGTAGGCTATCCTTACCGTACAGATCAAAGAGGGACCATAGAGATATCCTGATTCTTGCCCGCCCTGGGCCGATCGCAGCAACGCTTCTACCAAGAGGTTACGTATCTCTTGGCTCTATTGAACCCACGGAGTACGCATTAGTTAGCGTAGGCGTTTTTGTAAGCGACTTGATATGCTCCTGCCCACAATAGGTCGCATCAGGTAGTAACCTCGTGTCTTTGGTCGCAAAGGCCCGAGAACAAATGTAGTTAAGAACGACGCATTCATTTCCCTCCCCAATATGTACCCAATCAGTCCCGTTTGTCTCAATCTCAATATACGACCCGTTCCTGATTCGGCCATCGCTGTTGGGCTGAAGGTTGTCAATCTCAGGCGCCAGGCTTTGCATAACAACGAGAGTAGAACAAGCGCAGAGAGTATGCTCATTGCTCTTCATGATGGAGTACACCAGTTCAAGACCCGAACAACCGTAATCGACTGTGATAGCATGTGTCTCAGAGCATAGCGCAAGTAGTGAGAAGATCCTATCTCTGGCAACGCTGCATCTCTTGTCACGGAATGTTAACAGAAGGCTTGCTAGAGGGTTTCCGACAATTTTTTGACTGCTAATGAGCGCGAAAACTCGACCGATTGCTTCATCTGTATTCCCAGGCAAGCCACGGAGCAATACCCGAAGCCTATGCATTGTGATCGTTAATGGCCCAATTGCAACGGCGATGCGGCGCGCAAGTTTGAGCTCTTGTGTGATCCATGCTCGGGTCCAATAGTCGTTGCCGAGTAGATCATTGTTTACTGCTCTTCTTGCCTCCCGCACGGGTGTTCTTTCCTTCCAAGTAGAAGGATGACTGTACCTCAGCTGTAGTTCTCCATGATAATGTAGAACTGTCTCTTTCGACGCAAGTCCCAGCCATGCAATGACCGTTTCGGCCCTGGAGTATATCCTCCCCATCTGCATGACTTGGTGATTCCGTTCGACTGTGTTCTCTTGATCAACACAAACAGCGTCTATCCAATATGTATGAGCTGTACGCTCAGGATCGGCTCTGGTGACCTTCAAGTATTCGAAGAGATTCGGTTGAACGAAGAAATGTTTTCCGTTCATCAGTACAAGTTGTTTCGGTTCAGGTTCGCCCCACGCGTACGATAAGCAACGATAGGGCGCATAGTCTATGGTCGTATGCGATATGGAACATTGGACGAGGCCTTCAGCTGACAGCGTTGGTGATATCTTTAGCAGCCTTATGGGAGGCTGCGAATGATCGAGTGATTCGTGTTCGAAGAAATCGGTGGGAGAAGGCTGTACTATACTCCGCAGCTGCGAGACTGGGTCATCCGCCAGGATACTTGACGGGGAAAATGAAGTTGAAGTCGCCATGGTAAATCGCTTGAGACTTGACTCTAGCCCGAGCACGAGGATTGCGAAGGAAAGGTCAAGGTCGATGAAGAGTATCGTTGCTTCCGGTACCATGTGGAAGCGCGGCTGAGTTTATGCGGGGTTATCAGCTGAGGCAGCCACGGTGGGCGCAGCATGCTCAGCCGCAACACCGAAATCTTGCTGAGAACAGCGACGTAATCGCATCACTGAGAACGTGTTTCCAATCCAGAGGAACTGGTATGCAAGCTACCATGCGCGAGGGGGTTCGAACGCAGCGCTGAGCTGCGCCTTTATATCCTGTCAGCATCCGGTCAAGAAAAGGAGCTGATCGCGCAAGTCCTCCTTCTCAGCCTGCTCTTTTGGCCCGCTACAAGTATTTGTCAGCTCTCATTGTATTATCTTCCGGCTATCAAGATGGATTTCTCCAAAGATCCTATCATAATGACTGACACATCGGCACAAAACGGACAACGTACCAGTCCTCCTCCCCGCTTTGAAGGAAAGCCTTATCTGCAATGTCTCGACACGCTCGAGGATGCATTCCCAGCGCTCAAGTCCTTCTTGGAAAAGCTAGCAAACGAGGGAGAAGCCGGCCGTCAGGCTGTCAGGCAACACTACGAGAAAGAGCATCAACGTACGCCGGGTCGATGCTATTGCTTGGAGTTCAAGGCCAAAAGCGTTGTGGAGGTGGAAAAAGGTGGCTTTAAGAGCGCTGCTGTGCTCCGGGAGTACCTCAAGGAGAAGCCAGCCAATAAGAGCCGTGAGGAGAGACACAAGCGGCTCTTCATTCTTGAAGATATGGAACCGGACTATGTGGATGCACTGGGCCATCATCTAGGCGTCGACCCTCTGGTCTTCAGCGAGCAGATGAATACCTGGAACGTTAGTAATATCCATGTACGAACTGTATGTGAGACAGACACTGACTTCGTACACTCATCTTTAGTTCACGGACTCCTGGTCCATCCCACATAGAGGATTGCCATCGATGTCAGTGCCCGGGCAGTCATTCACGCTGCGCTACTACGAATTGCGGACTTTGCTCTGTGCCAAGTCGGTAAATGTTCTGAAACTGCAGACGTCGTTCGCAGTGAATCGTCGGAGATACGAGAGGTGGCGGGATATTGACGTACCATCATCAGGCACCCCTGATCGAAGGCATGCTTTTGTGAGACGGTGCGCTTCGTTCTGGACATCACAGACTTCTCCTTCAGATGGAGAGGCGAACGATGAAGGTTGGGATGGTAAGGCTTCTGAGACGATGTTATCTGGTAGATCACTGCTGACGGCCACCCACTTTAGCTGTCATCCTAGTAGATCCCGCCTTTGCTACCGCATGCGAGCCGCCAAAGACGGAGTCGGCCAGCGGCGGACGGGCGACGGGTGTGGCTGCAAGCGAGTGCTTAAAAAATCACGAGGCTGAACTGGATCCAAGTGCACGCAAAGCTCTAGATGATTGCTTGATCCTACAAGATCCCACAATCTTCCCCGACCGGTCGGAACTCTGGAAAGCACAAGACCACAATTCATCTCGACCCCCCAAACTCGAAGCGGTCTCTCATCAGAGCTGGCCGTACCACTACGGATGTTCTACATTAGCTCCCCTCATGTTCTCCGAAGTTGGTCTGGGTACAAAAGAGATGAATCTTCCAATGTTCCAACAAAAGCGAAATCTTACCAGTGCTATGGAAGAAATAGCATTCCACTGGACCAAGCTTGCCACTCCAGACTTGATCCAGCAGACGAACCTGAAGTCATCCAATGCTGCTTATTACCTCTTGAAACATGTTGCGCAACACTGGGTTAATCAACTTGAGCTCATGAATACCACCATTGCGAGGGCTGAATGGTTCGCAGATGACTACCAAGCCAAAATCGACGACAATTTGACCAAAAAGAAATGGAAGTCTGACCTACTGGAGATCAATGAGATTGCGAAGGACATCAATTACATGCGCCGACACTTGAATCACTTTTGGCGCGCTATGTATCTCAACCTAGAGCGTCTTGGTGTTCAACTAGGTGATGAAACTGTCACCAAAGAAGCGTCTCTAGCGATCAAGCATGCGCAGAAGGACTTCCTTACAATACACACAAGGATGCAGCCTTTGCGCGATCGCGCAGAAGCCTTGAACTCTGTCTCAAACGATCTCGCGAATCTTCGGGCGGCGTTCAGAGGCGTCTCAGACGGCGAGTTCGGCCTTCGTCTCAGCCTGTTCGCATCCATCGTCTTCCCGCTCACCCTGCTTGCTGGCATCTTCAGCATGGGGGACGACTTTCGCCCTGGTAGAAAACAGTTCTGGCAACTCTGGGCTATCGGCATACCCGTTTGCGTTGTGGTCGCACTCGGATTGGTGTACGGGAGAAGGCCTTGGGCAGTGGCCACCGATCTTTGGGAGTATGTAAGATCATGGTTCGAGTACTACGGGCTCATGAAGCCCAAGGAAAAGAATGCGGCGCAGAAACAGAAAATTGAAGGTACACAAATGAAAGAGAAGAGAACCCGCAAGCAAGGCGGACGAGCAAGTTTGGTGAGAAGGACAGGTTGGAACGTCCGGGACGAAGAACATGGTGTTGATGATTGAGTGTAGATTCATGATAATCCGAGGTGCAAGGCTAGAGTGGGGTCTGCCGAGGCAGCACGGGCTTGGCACCACCGGGGCCTCACCCCTGCATCACGGCAGCAATAGCTTCAAGCTGCGCCCTCTTCCACCTCTGCGAGATGGTCGTATGCGTATCATCCTCCACCCTCAAAACGACATTTCCATTGTCACCGCGCAGCCTCGCCGCAATCTGCATTCCATGATGGGCAGGTACGAAACAGTCATCCTTGCCATACCACAACTGCACCGGCAGATCCTTCCTGATGTCCTCGACCCGGAAACCCCAGTCACTACATATCGTTCGCCCATCCAACGCTATACCGTCGAAACCCTGCGCTCTCGCTTCACGAGTTGATCGTAATATCAGGCGGATGAGGTCCTCATCTGCCATGATCTCGCGATCCCTTGGATCCTTGATTGAGGCGAGCTTTGAGGGGTCTAGCACACGCTGTAAACGCTCCTCGTCGCTTAGATCCATACGCCCAAAAGCATCGCGGCTGAAGAACCATTTGATGAGAAAGACGGGCGCGTGCTTCCATCCGAACGGGAAGCCAAATTGGTGCTGGAGGTCTGCTCCCTTCATGCCAATGTCCATTGGTCCGACCCCACATACGACGGATACGCATTTGAGCTGCGGAGCTGGAAGTGCTGCTGCGCACGCAAGAGTATAGGGGCCTCCTCCAGATGCACCCAGAACAGAGTAGCTCTCGAGTTGCAGACGGTCGACGAGACATTGTAGGTCTCTTGGGCAATCCAACAATGTTCGTTGGGGATGCGGCGTGCTCAAGCCGATTCCAGGTCTATCGACCGCGATTATCCGTAAGCCTAGCTCCAGAGCGATATCCTGGTACGAAGCTGCTTCGATGCGAGACCCTGGAAGTCCGTGGTGATAAAAGATGGCATGGCCAGAAGGCGACCCGTACTGTGCGTAACCCAGCTTGCGCCCGTCGGGAAGCGTCAGTGTGTCTGAGGTATCATTTCCTAAGGGGTATCGACATTTGCGGGTATCTTCTCCGTGAGTGGTAGTTCCATGCTCTTCTATGCTCATAGCTGTGTATGATATGATGGGATATCCTGTGATGTACACTCGGCAAATAGGTGTGACGTGGTATTCTATCTTACGGGCAAATCGGATCGGACGTGCGCACTCTAACTACCATCATTATCACGATAGAACATGGTTTTATAAACACTCTCTTTGATGAGGAGAAGCCCCATCGGCACTGTCGGACAGCCGACCAACAGCATCAGGTGTTGTGCTTACTCCGATCCTTTCCGCGTTCTTGCGACGATTAGGCACCAGCTCAGCCTTGCCAAAACGTTCAGGGTGAACGGCAATCCATCCATCACCTTTATGTCTCGATGAGCGGCATGCGCCCACAAACTTTTCGCGTCTGTGCTGTGACTGCTTTACAGCACGGGAATATCAGGGTGCTCTATCTTTCTTTTCTACCTAGGAATGCGACACAGTTTCTACGTACAGTCTTCGAAGCGCAGGGAAGTGGGGACCAAGTTACCCGTCGCTTGAGGACCGCTGTAACATCGAAGTGTATTCATGATGCTCAACACAGTCGTTCAAGGCATACCTCACAGTTTCGACAAAGAGTACTTCAACTTCATTGTAGGCGGTGTGCCTGGTTTTGGTTCTAGTTGCTGCGGATTAGGGTGGAAGGAAGCTACCCATTCAACGCAGCCTTGGGCCTACGCTATTACCGGCCATGCTATTCTGAGGTATTTGACGCATACTAGCGACATACGCGCCCGTGTACCAGATTCTGCACATGCATAATCGTGAAAAGGTCTTGGCTACACTAGCTAGATATCTGCACATACACTATGCAGTCATCAGGCCAGATCAGCACACAAACGCCGTGTTACTTTACCTCTCCCGCTTCAACATAGTCTACACCGATTAGTCGAGATAGAGACACACTACGGAGTCTACGATCATGTATGTACGCCTTAGCATCGTACTCGAACATGGCAAGAGACGGCGAAATTTCCCCGCGTCCATGTATGGATTACCGCTTCCGGCTCGACCAGTGTATGTGAAATGCAGGAGAGAAAAAAAGCAGTCCAAGAGGCGTACTGTCAGCGCGTGCAGATATCCCGGTAGACACCATACCTGCAGCAGAAAATCTCGTTACCGTCTATGACGACGCGATTGCGTCGATTGCGTTGCGCTGCGTTCGAATGTGAGAGCTGAGAAAAGCGTTTCCCACTCGCCACCACCAAAGGATCAGCGCAAACCACGAGGTGTCAACACCAACACATCCCAGCATCCACGCGCACAACGCAGATCACCAAAGAGTGAGGCTCAACGTTGCACGTGTCAACTCGAGTCATGTCTCCACGCCACCGCAGTTCGCGAATCTGGCCCCAGAGCAAGTCTTCCGTCGATCAGCATGAGCGCGAAACCAATGCTCGGAACAGCATACTCGCCTTCGTAGCTCGAAGCAGTGGAGATCGGCAACGTTATCGACGGCGCCCTGCAGCATGTGCAATTATCGGCGTTGAGCGCTTTGCTGCGTGTGGCTGTCGGCTGGTTGGCTGCTGTGCGACGTAGTATTCGCGCGTACCTCACCGATCTCGAGACTGCGGTTCCGGCGCTGGGGGCCTCGATCCTGAAGACGTGTTCCGACAGCCTGTCACTCCAGACTATCGGGATTGCGTGACTAGCATGTGGTGCCCATGTTGTTGTATGCGAGGGTTTATTAACTTGTGATTGGCGGAATGGAGACGGGAGAATGTATGGCTGTGAGAGTGTGGATGTCAGGTAAAGCCGTGGCGGACCGTGGCGTAACAGGTCCATGCTGCACGGGATCATTCTCTCACTCACAGATTGTCATCTTGATTATGTAAGCCAGACTTCTCACACACTACTATTGCAGTGGATTATGCCTATAGATTAGTATGCGAAGTAAATATTTTTACGTATTAAATATAGCGCTAGAGGCTTAGCGCGCTAAGCTCTATATTATTTAACCTATCTGCACTTATTCGCAAGTAGGCTATAAAGGCTTTGCACCTTATACTTATCTCTATATATATATACTATTACTTATAATATATACTTAATATATTTAAATTATATATTAAATATAGCTTTAGCTATATTATACTTTAACTAAAAGTAATAATTAATTCTCTAAGCGTTTTTCTAATATAGACTACTTATATTATATCTTATATCTTATATCTTGTATCTTATATTACTCTATTATTACTTTATTATTACTTTATTATTACTTTATTATTACTACTTTATAACTAAGTATAATCTATTACTAACTTAGAGCTACTAATTAAAGCAAAGAGTAGTAAAGTACTATTCTAGTAATATATATAGTACCTACTAAGATAACTATCTACTTTAGAGTTATATATATAACTATTATAATAAGCTATATATCTATAGTAATTAGAAATCTAATTATATAGAATAATATCTAAATTTAAAGTAAAAGTATTATAATAATAATAAGAACTAATATAGTAAAGATAGTATTAGTAACCTAAGAATCTTAGTACTAGATATAAAAAGTAAAATAAAGGCTAATAGCTATACTAAAGATATTATAAGTAATATAAAGAATATAAATAAAGGTTATATAAACTTTTATAGTAGTATTTATAATAGTATTAAGTATAATAGTAAGGCTATTAGTAATATAAGAAGGTATAGTTCTAATAATTATATAAAAAGTAGTTTATATAAGGTAATTAGTATATATAAAGAACTTAGAAACTATATACTATACTTATAATATTAAACGCTAAGCTAATCTAATATTTAACTTCTAATATATAGAAGTCTATTTAGTAGAGCTTTCTAAGTAAGATAATAGTATTTGTTTATAAACTAGATATATTATTAAAGTAGTTAATAACGTATAGTATAAAGTAGGTAAATATATCTAATATAACTATAAGAGTAATAAGAGTAATAAAGATAAAGGCTATATAAAGAGGTATATTATTATATAAAGAAGTTTTTATAAAAAGATTATCTAGTAGATAAAGTAGAATATAGAAGTAAGTAATAGATATAGAGCTATTAGTAAATACTACTATAATATAAGTCTAAATATTAGCTATAAGAGTACTAGACTACTACTTATAAGATAAATATTAATAAAAGTAGAAACTATTATATAGGTATTAGAAAGTATAAAGATATATTACTATAAGAACGTAAGGTAATTAGTATAGATAAGAAAGTATATAAGTAATAGTTTTAGTAGAAAAGAGTTCTATTATAGAGAGATTCTATTATCTAAAGTATTATATAAGAGTCTAATACTAAAAAGTATAAGTAAAAGATAAAATAGTAAATAATAAGATAATTCTAAAGAGCTTTTATTAAAAGACGTTCTCTTTCTAAGTAATTTTTAGGTTATTAAAGATCTAATTTATATAAGAATACTTTATATACTAGTATAAACCTTCTCTTTCTAGTAGTATAGTTCTATTATACTATCTAGAACGTATTACTTACTTATAGTATAAAAAAAAGATAAAGAAAAAATATAGAAAAGAAAGTATAAAGTAAAATAAATAATTAAGTAGAGATATTAGTAATGTACTACTATAGTGTAGTTAGTAGCTAGATTTTAGGTAAAATAAGAAGCTTACCTAAAATCTAAGTACTAGTAATATTACTAGTATATTTAGTCTACTTTATATTTTATCTACTATAATACAGCTTAAATAGGCTAGTAGTAGAAGCTAATAGAGCTAGTGTTAGTATCTTAAACTAAGAAAAAAGTAGTAGAACTAGTAGTAGTAATATTATTAGAGAGTATAAGAAGCTAAAAAGTAATAATAGAGTAGATACTAGACTACTAGCGTAAGCCTAAGAAGTCTTAAATAGAGAGAAAGAAGTAGATATAGTATTAAAGTTAGTAGCATTATAAAAGTAGTAATAAATATCTAGTTCTATATTAATTTTATTAATAAAATATCTAATAGTATCTTCTATACTATAATTATAATTCTAAATATACTACTATCTCTTATAAGAAGAAGGTGTACTCTTATTAGTAAAGAAAGAAATATTTAAATATTTACTATTAGCGCTCTTAGTAAAGGCAGCCTTCTTAAGCTTTTTAACTACTAGCTATAGTATCTTAATCTCTCTAATAACGTACTTACACTCTTTCTAAATATACTCTAGAATACTATTTTTATTTTTACTAAGAAGTTTATAGATCTTCTTATATATAAGAGAATTATTCTAGAAAACTTACGTAAGAATAGCTTTTTAGATCTAAAAGAAGAAGTTAATATATATATCTACTAAAAATATCTACTTAATACTACTATACTTATTATAATATCTAGATAGTGTTGTAGAAAGTACTATAAGATTATAATAAGCCTTTAAGATCTTATTATATATTTCTATAGCTAGAATCTCTATAACGCTTTAGCGTACTATAATATACTATAAAAGAATTATTTAATAGATCTTAGTTACTAGTTCTATAAAGCTATAGAGCGTTATAGAGTAGATAATATAAACGTCTTCTTCTCTATAAATAGACTTCTTCTACTTTATACTTAGCGCTATTACTTATACTTCTTACATTTAATTAATATTATTATACTATTCTTTAATAAAGCTAGTAGAATTCTTCTTAGTAGTCTTACGCTATTATAAGTATAGCTTTATATATTAATAGAAGCCCTCTAAGACTTCTATATAGTTCTAATAGTTTTTATTATTAATTAAAACTAATTCTTAGATTATATTTATATCTTAATCTTAAGCGTAAGTAAATAATAGATTAAGATTAATATAGTAGAAAAACGTTTTATTACCTAGTATAGTATACTTAGCGT